CAAACAATTCCGGCACATTAAATTATTTATTACAAACAATTCCGGCACCAGAAAAGGAGATAAATTTTTTTTCGGTAATTACTAGAAACACGTTCTTTTGCACTGTTTAGTCATCAAATGTGGAGACGCTTCGTAAGTCATATCTAGGTTTCCGTTATGTTAATTAAATTATAATTTGATATTTCCCAAATGCCCACATATCATTATTATATTCACTGTAACTGATGACGAGGCGGAAAGACCAAATAATACGTCATCATAAATCGATGACGTTATCTTTACATGTCATCACGCGAGATATCCGGGTTGGCTCGTCACCTTTTTTTGTTGTTGTCATAAACGTATTACGTTGTCAACTCTTTGTCTTTATTTTTATTCTTTTTGTGGGTCTTGTTGTCTACACCCAGTAGTCAACACACTCTGACCTCTGAGGTGACCTTGACCCAACGACCCTAATGTCCGCCCACATTCACATCATGCATAATTCATGCAGCCCAGGCGACCAGGTTGTTGTTAAAACACGTCTGTCCGCGATTATGCTGTTGACTTTTCATTTGACACTCATCAGCTGAAACCTTTCCTCAGTCCCCAGATAAAGAAAAGATACAAATAAGGGTGAACGAACACAAGAGAAAGAGTTATATAAAGAAACAAAGGCAGATCCAGAGAGACGCTCAAATGGAGATAATAAATGAGACAGACAGACAGACAGACAGACAGACAGACAGACAGATAGACAGACAGACAGACAGACACGGGCAGACAGACAGAGAGCGAGACAAAAAAGAAACTGAGATAGTATTGTGTGTGCTTGAGTGTATGTGTGTGAGAGGGGGGTGGCAAAGGGGGTTGAGAGAGAGAGAGAGAGAGAGAGAGAGAGAGAGAGAGGCAGAGACAAAGGGTGGGGGGTAGAGAAAGTGTTTGTGTGTATGTGAGTGTCCGCGTGCGCGCGCGCGCTTGCACTAGAGAGAGAAAGTGCGGGTACCTGTGTGTATGTGTGTATGTGCTTGGGTGCGCGTGTGTATATACGTGTGTGTATGAGAGAGACTCTTTATGTGTATGACGATGTACATTTATGCATGTGTGTGTGTGTGTGTGTGTGTATGTGTGTGT